GCGGGAGGCGCAGCTGCTGGGGCTCAGCGAGGGGCTGGAGGCGCACCACGCCGCGCGCTCGCACCTGCGGAAGTGAGTCGCGGCGGCGCGGCGGCGCGACCTTGACCCGACCAAAGACGGCCAATGACCTCGGCGCGTAGGCGCGTAGGCGCGTAGGCGCGTAGGCGTCTCACGGCCTGTCCTTTGTCCCGCCGCAGGAGCAGGAAACTGAACGCGCGGCTCGAGAGCGCGATACAGGAGGCGATGGCGGAGCTGGACAAGAAGAGCGAGGCCGCGCCCGCGCCCGGGGCCGGGGCCGCGCCCGCGCCGCGTCGCGCCCGAAGGCTCAAGGCGGCGCCGCGCAGCTCGCGATGACGCCGCCGACGGCGCCGGGCCGCGGGTGGTTTGTGTTCGCGATCGAGTTGCGCCGACCCCGTCATCACAGTTTTATTTTCGTAAGAATATCATCACAAATCAGCACGAGCTTTCCGAAGAACACTATTTGGCCGTTTCGATCGACGCCACGGCGAGCCGCTGCCGTTCCGCGTTTTAGATTGAACGTTAGGAACGAAAGCGATTTAAAAAAAGTATTTCGAAACTTCACTCGATGGACCAAAGAAAATTAATGTTGCGAAGACCGGATTAATGATATCGGTGGAAATTGGACATAGGCTATAAATAAAAGAATTATTAAACGCTCGATTGTAAGACGGCGGAACTGTTTCATGTTTACACGCGACAATTGTGATTTAAAATCGTCTTTGTTGCACACTATACGTGTTAGAATAAGGTACTATAATCTCGAGTTAGGATCCTCAAATAACTAACCTGTCATCGACGCGCGCGTACAAGTTAGGCGAGTGTAAATTTATATAAGAGAAGGTATATATATACCCTGTACATTTTTATATGTTTTGTTAGAGAGTAATAAATAAGTATAACATGATTTCTAGTCAAATATTGAGCATATTAATGTAGATATTGAATACGGACAATAAGACAAGGCCTGGCGGCGGCGGTGAGCGTCGAGTACGACATTGTTTTGGTTACATAACCCATAAGTACAGTCGGTTAATTTTGCACTAGTACTTTGTTTGCTAATAATAATTTATTAATTTTTATGCGTTGTTTTAAGAAGTTCTAATTACACCTCAAATTGCGAGTTTATCCCGTCGTGAAGCATCAACCCTTCAGACTTCAGAACAAAGTATACACAGATATCTTTAACGGGCCTAAAACATTAAATTGATTAAAATATCACAATTTATAAATTGAGATGCAAGCGCTATGGAGATTTCAGTTTAAAGTACAAGGGAGATTACATTTCTGAAATACTTTTTTTATAATATTCAGATAATATATAGGTAAATAAAAGATGTTTTTTTTAATTGTAGATAGAAAGATATTATAGGCGACGTCGTACCACGATCCGTTTGATAGGCAATTTGTTATCGACCTCATTGTTAGATTTATCGATGTGCGTAATAACTTTATGTGATCTTCGGATATGAATGTCTCCTAAATTATATATCAATGAATTATCATAGCTTACTGTTTTTATATTATCGTATTTTAACCTTAGAGATTCCAGTTAAAATTTCCTAAAATAATAAATGTGACGTCAGATATCGACATAGTATTTAAATGTTAAACGGATATTGTTTATTATATTATTAGTCGGGTAGCATTTCCTGCGAGATGGTATTATGTGTAAATAATCTTAATGTAGTTATGTATAGTATTTTATTTCAATGAAATTAATGTTTTATAGATTAATATTACGACATAAGATTATTTATTTGTTTTGCTGTGTACATATTTTTTTCAATAAAATGTACCTGTTTTATTTAAATGTAAATCTTTTTTTTCGAACAACCTACTTCCGGACGTCGTTTATGGCCTATGAATATTTAAAACAAATCATGGCAAACATACGTTACCTACGGAAGAACTGTAAAGGTATTTGAGTAGGTAGCCACCTACTTAATGATATTTGGAAAAGTAAGCCCGCCAAAGCGAGAGTTCAACATAGTAGGTATGCAAATACGTGTATTCGAATTCGTGTATGGAATCGTGAGTCAGCAGAGTACACACAATTGTACTCGGAGTCGGAGGGTCACGACCATAAATAAGCACTAATGTTCTTGTTTTGATGCGCCCACTGCCGCATGCCGGCGAGCGCAACATTAAATCGACAATTTACTATGACAAGTCCGCTCTACTGAGACCTGCGTCTACGCCCTAGAGGCTTATCGTGCATCATTTATTTTATTGTGAAAGGAATTGAGAGAGGTCTGCGTCGACTGGTAGTGAGAGTAGTAAACAAATTCCAGTTGGCAAGTTTAAACATTTCGTCGGTCACGGGCGAGCGCGCGCCCGCGACGCGCCCCATGGCCCGTGAAGATATTACCTCTGCGAGTTATTGGAGCTCTGAACGCTGCTCAGCTCTCGTGTTTGCGAGTCAAGAGCTGTCTACTTATTGCCGCCCATTTCCTGTAATACTTTTATGTATTTAAGTACATTTGTTTTCAAATTTTTTACTCCATTTAACGATCAAGTCTTTTTTAGTTATTATGAATAATAAGAATCGTAATGTGCCGCGCTGCCATTTATCAACCCTTATCTGCCTCTGACTTGCATGTTTAGTCATAAGTTAGTAGAAGTTACACCAGTTATTTAGAATTCACTATCGTCATTTTTATTCATGACTGACTACCGTAACTCAAGCAAAACTCCCACGCGTAGCGCTACGCCGCCGCGGCGCCTGTAGCTGTGTGCTACGAACTCTGGCGTAGGAAGTTATTCATTCGAGCGAAAGAGCGGAATAATAATCCCAACAGTGGGAATAATAATCCCAACAGTGACAAATCTACGAGCAAGTTAGCAAGTACTTAAACTCTTCCAGCCTGCAGCCTTCCAGCTCGCGTGAAACGTATTTTTCTGAAATTGTGTTTGTCGAAAAGCATCTGGTAGATAGATACAGACGGAAACTTTGTCGCGTCCGGTCTATTTGTGCTGCGCTAAACTGTGGCGGACTTTTAATCCGTCTGGCTTGAACGACAAACAAACATGTCGAACTAGCCCGCCCCGTCCTAGAAAAGTTGTCGTTTGCAATATGTTCCGATAAAAAATATGTTGAGCGCACATAGCGACGACAATGCTACGTGAGTGTGATGTATGGCTTCTGTTAAGGCATTACAAACAACGCCACCATTACTATATAAATTAACCGACCATTAAGCTGAGAAATTAATGGTGTTGCGAATGTTATTCTAAAAATATAGGCACCAGCTGAGTATTTCATATAAAACACCAACATTTCAAAGTGGTAAAGCTGCAGGTAGGTACCGCGGTAATAACGTAATGAAGAAAGTAAGAATAAACACTCATCATTATTACTTACAAACAGTGTTGGGCAAAATTTAATTATTCTGGAAATTTTATTATTTTATATAAATTTAATTATTCTGGGGGCCCGGTTGCGGGCCGCGTTGGGGGCCCCCAACCGGGGCCCCCAACTGGGGTCCCCAACCAGGGCCCCGACCGGGGCCCCAATCGGTGCCCCAATCGGTGCCCCTCACCGGGGCCCCAATCGGTGCCCCTCACCGGGGCCCCCAACCGGCCGGAATTGATTTTAATTGCAAATTTAATTACAATTAAAATCAATTCAATTGAAATCAATTGCAATTAAAATCAATTGCAATTAAATTCGCAATTCGCAATTGATTTAATTGCAATTGATTTCAATTGAATTGATTTTTTAATCTGATTGAATTATTGATTGAAATTTAATTGATTAACGCCCAACACTGCTTACAAATACAAACTACGTAACAAACATTTAAAGTAAAAAACGTTCGTAGGTATGTTTAGCAAAAGAATCTTATTCAAGTCCGTTCCGGTTCATTTGTGTTGACGTTGTTTGTTCTTCCGCGTGTATTTGTAAGTTTTGGGGGGTATTAGATACCCATTCATCATTAGAGTCGCTCGCTGTACAAATGGCGTGGGTCACAAGGTTTAATAAACGGAGGATTTGCGCAAAATGAGACGGTGGCCATACATCGCAATGTAAACAGTGTTACAAATCCAGAGAGGGCGTTATTCCCTCATCGCACCCGGGGGATAAACCGTGAAAAACATTGACACGAGAGCGAGAGCTTGTAGCGGTGCAATTGCTCGAAAACAGAGCGCTGCATCAAGACGCGGCCCTTCCGCCCGAGATACGCCACAACACTGCCTCGGTTAGGGGTGGGACGTACTCGACAAAAGTTTTCTATTCTTTTTAGCTGGCTGATTGTATGTAATACTGGCACCGTTAACAATTGCCTCGCATTTTCTCATATATCTGCTCGCGACTGCCCAATTCTCTTGTCACCATTTATAAAGATAATTATTACATATAGGTGCATATGACATGCATCCTATGATAATTTTTCCTTTGGCGACATAGTGAAGTATTTTCGATTCTTATAATAAATAAAACCTGCCTAAGTAGCAGTGGAGCTCGTTATAAAATCTAGTTCATCTAAGGAAGTACTGCCAGCTTATCTATTTCTGCCGTCAAGTATTCAGTGTAATCTTTTTGGCGTTCCAGTTTTGAAGAGTAAAAGTGATATTACAGGCACATTACGGTGCCACAAGTCACACAGCCACCGAAATAATGAATTTATTGCAAACTATATTTCCCGATCGCATAATTTCACGATATTCAGCCGTTAAGTGGCCAGCTCGGTCATGTGATTTAACACCGCTGGATTATTTTTTATTTATTTATTTAAAGACAGAGTCAATACGGAGCCAATCGAATCGATTGCAGCCTTAAGACTCAAAATTCGTGAAGTGATTAACGAAATAGACCCACCATTTTGTCAAAAAGTGATTAAAAACTTTAATGCAAGAATCGACATCTGTAACTGTGGTCGTGGTGGACATTGCCAAACCTTACTTCTTTTAATACAATAAAAATTTGACTCATTGTCATCTAAATCTATTGTTTTATTTTGATTTACAAAACAAAGTTCTTGTTGAAAAGCACTTTATAATTATTTTTACTGCCTATTGTACTTTTTCAAAAAAATATACTCGTGTCAATTAGCAGATTTATATCAACGTATTTATGTACATCTATCTATTAACTATGTGAAAACTGTTGTGGATATTACATATTATTTTAGGGTGCACATAACACCCGGTACCTGTCTATCGCGTTGTACTTTGTGTTTGTCCTTTCTACTTATAAAAATGTGTAAGGCGACTTCGAATATCGATACACCTACTACTGTCCCCAGATTGTCTTATGCCTAGCGCGTCTCGTGCCAGGAGAGACAAAGGAGCTCGATTAGTGCTGAGGAAGGCGCTCGCTGCGGCGCGCAGCGGCGGTTGCGCTGCACTCGTACTGCGTTAGGGTAGGTACATACATCACGCTTATAGATGTAACATTCAAATTACATGAAAAACTTTCGACGGTTACCCACCTTCGTCTTACATGCCTACTATACAAAATAGCTAGGGCTCCTTTACAGAGAATACAGGATATACTTAGCAATAACTTACAGAGTAGGTGACCTTACCCAAGATGGCATGGTTCGTAATAAATATTCGCTGAATTGTCGAACAGGCACGCCGAATGCAAATATTGTCAAATAGTAATGAAAATCATCAGTATAAGACCGGCAGCCGGTGTTATGATGCTAACGGTATCGGTACGAGTGCAGCGTACGCGACAGGCGCCGGTAAGGGTACACGGGATGGTACAGCCTATAACAGCTGGCAATTAACCAGCCCATACATTTTAACGACGCGCTACACGGCTTTACCATTAAAACGTGAATTTTTAATCCCTCTGTGATAGCTACTACAGCCTTTGTCCGAGAAAAATGAAAATTTATCTGCCGGTCTGTAGAGCGTTTCTATTTCCGTCTGTCCCAAGTTCTATAACTAAACTAGATATTGGAAAAAGAGTCTTTCTCTTCGTTGTTTTGTTCTGAATAGTTGTATTTTTGACGAGTGTTGGTACCTATACTGTGTTCTCAAAGTTAATAAAAAAATAATATATTAAAGTAGGTATAAACCACCATGATTGTGTCCACAAAAAATAAATCATGTCAGCCCAATTCCAAAAGCGAATTGTGATTGCCTCAGTGAATTTATACAGTTTGTACGACGTGTAGGCCCTACGGTGAACGGAGAATCGGGTCGCCATTAATCTGGTGAAGGCCGGCGGACGGGCGGCGGGCGGCGGACGCGGCCACCGATCGCAAATGGATGGTCATTGAAATGA